TGTGTTGTTGTAGAGAATGATCCTAATAAGCTCTGCTCCAACCCCACTGCCTCCATGGGATCCCAGACGCCATAATCTTTCTCAGATTCTGGCAGTGCCCCAATGGATCTACGGCTTTCCCTCTTTCCCCCTACAATTCAGTTCCAGGTTCAAGCCCTCCAATGGCTCCTCTTGGATCTTGTGGTAAACTCCACACTCCTCATCCTGCCTAAATCTCGCCTGGTCTGACCCCTGCCCACCCCTCCAGCTTCATCTCTTCCCGCTCTCCCTGTGGCTCACCAGGATCTCATCTCATGGCTCTTTGTGTTGCTCTCACTTGCCAAGTTCAGTCCTACCTCAGGGCCTTCACACGCCTCTGCCTGGACCACCTTCCCCCCTAGCGGGCTCCTTCTCAACATTCAGGTCTCATTTTAAGTGTCACCACCTTCGAGAGGCCTTTCCTGACCATGCTATCTAACACAGCCCTCCCAGTCAAGCACTAGCACACTCTTATTTTCTTCATAGCTTTTATCAGCATCGGAAATTGTCCTGTGTAATGATGAGTTTTCTTGGCTACTGTTTACATGGGAGATCCACATACCCTGGGTCCTGGTGTGTCTTATTCACTGCAGCGCGTCCAGCACCTAGCGCACTGTTGGCACCTAGTAGACAGTGAATAAATATTTTGGAGAAGTACTTGACGAATGAACGAAGGTGAAGTATCTTGCCAAAAGTCACGTGGCCAGAGAATGATGAAACTGGGGCTAGAGCTCAGAAACCTCAACCTGGGGTGTGGGGTTGTGGCCACCTCCCTTGCCCCTTGCACCCCTTCTCCTCCTGCTCCGAACCTCACAGAGCACCGTCTGCCCTAGTAAAATAAAGTGAACGCACAGGCAGACTTCTGTCCAGGTGGGTTCAGCCAGTAATGAACATCAAGCAGCCTCGAAGGAAAAGAAATCACAAAGATGTAGATTAAAAGAGGAGTACATTGGGGCTGGCCCCGTGGCCGAGTGGTTAAGTTCACGCGCTCCGCTCCAGGCGGCCCAGTGTTTAGTTGGTTCGAATCCTGGGCGGGGACATGACACTGCTCATCAGACCACGCTGAGGCAGCATCCCACACACGCCACAACTAGAAGGACCCACAATGAGGAGTATACACTATGTACCAGGGGGCTTTGGGGAGAAAAAGGAAAAAAAAAAAAAAAAAAAGAGGAGTGCGTCTCTCAGGGCTTACTGTATAAAGCTAAGGGTGTTCTGGGCTTATTTTTCATTGAAAGTAAAATTCTAAAAAAATTTAGAAACTTCCTCATTCATTCATTCATTCTTCGATTCATTCATTTGCTCACTCATTCATTCATCAATCATTAATTCAGTGCTTAGATATATATTTGCGCAGGCACTGGATGGCTTCATGCTGCCCCCTTGCTCCTCTGCCAGGGACCTTTATAATCTACTTCCTGTCCTTTGGGGCTGCTGACCACACCAGCGTGGGGGAGAGCCCTCAGGGGACACGCTTGCACTGAGACAGGAAATGGAAACAAGCAGAACCTAGGTCATTCTCAAAATGTGTCACCTCTCATTTGCCTTCAGGAATGACATGAATTTCTTAGGAAAACAAAGCTTGCCCGGCTAAGCCCCAAACACGCCTCTGAGGTTGTGCTCGACCGGAGCTGAGTGCACGTACCACACACGAGCACGTGGTGAAGATCTCAGGAGCTGCTGGCAGGTGAAGGGACCCTCCATCCTACACAGCCGGGGGCCGGGCTGGGGGAAACAAAGCCTGAGGAATGGACCTATGAAAAGAGTGTGAAACTTCCATCCACGGACTTGGAACATCCATTCGGGCTGCTCAGAGGCCCTCTGGCTCTCTTCCTCGTTCCTGGCAGTGTTTTGAGCAGCTGAGGTTGCTGAGTAGATCAAAGAGCATCTATAGAACATCATCCATGTGGTAGAAATTGTGCAAGGCCTGAGAGTTTAGACACTGTCTTTGCCCTTACGATCTGGGGGTCTACCAGCCTGTGACTTCTTAATGACCCCAGAGTGGCCCTACTTGCCACACTCCTGGTCCATGTCAGCACACTGGCCCTCTCACGGACCCCGTGCTCACAACACGCTTGACAACACACCCGTTTCACAGATTCACATGGGCGATCTGGAGATGTGCACTGCCTAGTACGTTGCTAAAATTCAATTTTCACCTTAAAAACCACACCTACCGTAAACACCTAAAAGGTACACATGGCTATACAGTGAAAGGCAAGCCATCTCACCCGCCCGCTGGTCCATCAGTTCTCTTCCCCAGAAGAAGCCACAGTTCTAGAAAATTTGAATCTTTGGCCAACATTGAAAAGTCAGGTTTCACATTAAAATCAAGATTCCCAGCTTTTGTTTAAAAGGAATAACTGGAAGGTCTGGCAATAGCGGGCCGACAGTTCCGTGTGGCAGCAACCAGTGGGTCCTGAGCCTCAGCTGCTCCTGTAGGAGGGCCATGTGCCCCCTGGGGCCTTGTGCCCACCCTCCCAACTGTGGCCACCACTGTCAGGTGGCCACCGTGTCATGTACGCTCCCTGCTGGGCTCTTGGAGGCAGACAGGTCGGCAATCCACGAGCCACACTGTAGCTCAAGGCCTGGTTCTCAAAGAGAAGCGCTAAGTGCAGAATGCCTGACGTGAGCTGGGCGTTGGGGTCGCCCCACGGTGCCCAGGTGAGTCATTCGATAAACATTCATGGTGCGTCTCCCTCTACTTCTCCATAACACCCGATATATTGTATCATGACTGTCAGGCCCTCGGGTGAAGACAAGCCAGGGTCACTGCCCCAAGCCATTCTCAGGCTAGAGAATAGAAACAAGTCTGTTGGGCACAGCTGGTATGACAAATGGCACAGGAAACAGAGATTATGTTGATGCTCAGAACACTGGCAAAGGAGACAGCAGTCCCATGGGAAGGGGGGACACAGACACAGGGGCGAGAAGGACATTGTGCTCTGCCACAATCACACGGCAGGCACCTCTGCCACCTGCACAGAGAGGGGATCTGTGACAGATCTGTGGGGATGTGTCTCAGGTCCCATCTTGGACAACCTGGGCTGCAATGTCCGACTGCATCTTTTGTGCCACTGAGCAAGCAAACAGCATGTCAGAGCTCAGCTCACATGCCCCTGCCCTCTCCCAGCTCCCCCAGTCAAACAGCAAGAATGTGACATCACAGGAAAGAAATACACCAGTCTCGGCTGCAAGTGGGGAAGTTCCCAGCAATTGGCGTAGGCAGCATGGAAAGTAGCTGGGGGGCAACTCCCAACAACCTGGGAGGAGCCCCACGGTCACCTCACTGCAGCCTCTCACCCTACACTGCCTGCAGCGTTCGCTCATCATTTCATTTGCTCCATAGCTGTTGAGCTTTACTACATGCTGACACTGTCCTACAGACACAAGGTAGGAAAACTGGGTCTTCGATTGAAGACCTAATAAATGGATTTCATCCACCCACCCATTCACTCATTCATTCAAGGAATATTTATTGAGCCCTTTCTATATATTGGACACCACTCCAGGTCCTGGGGATGCGGCAATAATCTAAAATAGACAAAAACACCTGCTCTCACAAAGGTTGCACTGTAGTGGGTATGTCATGATGGTGAAGGGGCAGACAATAAACTCAGTAATTAAACGGTGTATTAGATGATGATCAGTACCATAAGAATAAGGCTGGGAAGGGGAATGTGGGGGTCCAGGGCGGGGGGGGGGGTGCCATGTTTAAAAGGGCAATCAGGGAGGTCTCACTGAGGAGGTGACATCTGAGTAGAAACCTGCAGGAAGCATGGGACCAAGCCAGGCGATATCTGCAGGAAACACATTCCCAGCAAAGGCAGCAGTGAGCTGAGCACTGAAGTGGGAGGGGTCTGAGGTTTTCAAGGGACAGTGCAGCTGGGGGGCAATAAGCGAGGGGACAGTAGGAGGGTGTTGGCAGACAGTTCTCCACGGGTTTGTGCCTGCCTTATGAGCTTTTGTTCCAGATCATCTCTTCAAGGTTTGTATGGTGAACGCCTTGGAAGAGAGAGCTGGTGTCTCCCTCCAGGGCAGAGGAGAGACCCACTTGCTCTCCAGTATAAGAGAGACAACGTCTGCTTCCAAGGCAAAGGTGGGCAGCTTGGCTTGCAACCCACTGTGAAAACTGGGGTGCCTAAGCTCAGGGCTCCTTGGCTGTGATGCACAGCGCCCACGTGACTCCGCCTCTGTGCTGCCCCCATGGGACCTGGGGGACAAGGGGAACCAATCAACATGATACTCAGGATGCTTTTGTGCTGTGACTGATGAAGTCCTTTGTCTCTGACTCTAGAGTCTCGTGTCTTCGCCAGTGTCCCTGAAACTGTGGCAGGCTAACTTAGTTACAAGTAGGGTGAAATCTTAGACCCTTCTCAGTTCTTGACAGAGGAACAAGATCAGAGACAAGGAATGAATGGATGAACACACGTGTGAGTGAGTGAATTGGGATTCAGAGGGCATTCCTCCCTAAACACAGAACATTAGCAAGGAGCAGTCTTCAGGGCGGGTGCAAACACACAGCTGGTCACTGCCTTGGGGTAAAATAGGCCCCAGGACTGGCCACAGGACCATGGAGGTGGCTCTAGGGGATGCTGCAGAAAGAAGCCAAAGGGAGCTCATTTGCAGCTGCTGCTACCCATAGTTGGTGCAAGATAAGGGGGAAGATCTCCCTGCCAAAGGAAGGGCTGAGGAAAGGATGTAGAGGAGGCTCTGAAGAGGCCTGGCTCACAGTGTTTCTCAGTGAGAATCCCAGGTTCTGACAATCCCCTGCCCACCCCAGCACCCCAACCCCCCACTGTGGGCTCTGAGGGCAGGCCATTCAGACAGAAGGACGCATCACTGGCACTCCCTATGGTCTCCTCTTCCAGACTCAAACTCAAACCTGGGAAGAAAGACATGGAGTCTCCCAGGACCTCTGCCTCCCTCCTGTCGTCCCAGCCCCACTCTGGTGCAGAGAGAAGGGACCTCCCGACGCTCACCCGCCGCTCTGCTGCTCCCTGCGTTGATCCACTTCGCTCTCGTCCCACTGGTGCTGCCTCAAGGCTGCAGGGTTCAGGGGCAGAGGCTATCTCCAGGACGCTGAGCTTTCCTGCCCGTGGAGACAGGCATTCTTGCCAGACAAGACTGGTTCTTTGGTTTAGAGCATGTGGTCGCTGGACTCACAGGGAGGGGTGAAGGGAGTGGAAAGGCAGAGCTCAGAGTTCCGAGGGGGCCCCTCAACCCTCAACCCACATCCCATGAGGCTCACTTGGGCTTTCCAGGTTCCCGAGGGGCTGGGGAGGTGAGGGCCCTGCTTCCCTGTGGACAGGGCAGGCCTGTTTCCTCAGCTGTGTCTGCCACTGGCTGGGAAGGAAACACCTGGATGCGAGAGAGCCAGTCTGGCAGGGGGAGCATTGTTCCCAGGGGCAGGGGGCCTGGGAGGAATCTGATGGGGCCTGGACGCAGGCTAGGAAGCCCCGGGGACAGATGACAATGATTGCAGCCTGGTCTTCATGTCCCCTGTGTCGGCAAGGAGCCCTCTAGGAGATAAGAGAGGTGAGCAGCAGGCCCTGGAGAGAGGCCGTGTGGCAGTGTGGCTGGGCAGGTAGCATACGGTGCTGCACTGCCTGGGTTCCGAGTCTCTGTTGCTACGGCAACCTGGCCTAGGTTCTTAAACCCTTCTTGCCTCAGTTTCCCCATCTTTGAAGGGGACCAAACAATAGCACCTACCTTCTAGGGTTATTGTGAGGACTAAGTGAAATGATACTCAAAAACCACTTAGAGCTAAACAAAAAAACGGAACAGGCCCACGCCTGTAAGTCTCCCCAGACTCCACGCTCGAGCAGCCAACCGGAGTCGCTCGCTGTCCTTTCCTTTAATCCCGACGTTCACACCCTCTTTTCTGCTCTGTGGGTTTCACACTTTGTTCCCCTCGCTGGGATACCTGTTGCCTCGTCTCTGCATGCAAACCCTCCCTCTCAAGGCTCAGACGCCACCTTCCATGAAGTCCTCCCTGATTTGCACCCGGAGGTCTCTCTCCGCCTGCACAGGCCACCTTGCCTCGATGCGGGCCCTGGTGCCTTCTACTTTCTATGTTAGTCACTCATAGCCTCAACCCCCACACCAGATGGTCAGCTGCTCGAGGACGGAGACCTCGCCTTGGTCAGACCCTGGTGCCGGCTGCACACGTGGAAGATGCTCGATCCATGCGTGTGGAGAGAACTGGCCTAACCAGCATGAGTGTCACCAAATTCCCCAGAAGAGGGATGGACAGATGATGTCCCAGAAGGGGTGCAGATGGGGACCCAGAAGATTCACTCTGAGTCCTGCACCTTGCTCACCCACACTGCAATTTTGGCAAGTTGCTTCATCTCTGTGGGCCTCAGTCTCCTGAGCTATGAAGTGGGCGTAAAGCACGTATCCAGCCTACCTCCAATTGCTCGTGAGGATCCAGTATTGGCGAGAGTACTCTACAGCACCAGACATGTATAATTAGGCCTATTACTATTGGCATTTACAGGATTTGTAGAAGAAAGGAGAGTCTTCTCACAGAGTCCCATGTCCTTTCTTGTGAAAATGAATTGAGCAACCTTCACTTGCAGAGTGGTCCTAGTAGCTACCGTGTCTGGGTAGCCCTTGTCAGGAAGGCTGGGCCTTGTGTTCGCGAGATCCAGGGGCGTCTCAGCCCCTCACGGGCTCCCCTTCCAGCATCCCTCCTCCCAGCCCCGCCATCTGCTCTGCTCAGATCTGCCTCTCCCCGGTCCCTCCCTGGACACCCTACTCCAGCCAGCACCCACCTTGGCTCAGCTGGGCTCCCCGAGTCCTTCTGCCGATCAGATCCCCTCTGTCCTGCCCAAGGAGGCTGCCAGCCCCTGACGCCTCGGTATCTCGGAGGAGCCCCAACGGGTGTCTTCAGTCTCGCCTGCAGCCTCCAGACCTGCAAAGAGCCCCAGCCTGGCTCTGTCCCCGCCTCTTCCTTCCCCTTCCCATGGCCCTCAGAGCTCCTCCCAGAACACATCCTGCTGTGAGGTCGCTTCTAGAGAAGCGTCTGTGGTCACCCACGGTCCCTGGAGCTTCTGCATTCTGATCCCGTGGGCGGGGGGCACCTCCATAGTGCCCTTCTCTGCTGCTAACTGAGCGGTGTTGCAGGGTGCCCTGACCGCTCTCCCCAGCTCCAGACACACCAACCACCCCCACACCCTGACACTGTCACCAGATGGCCCTCAAGCTCCTCCAACTCGTCACGAACAAACCAAGCTCGCCACTTCCCCCTCTAAACCCACTTCTCTGCTCCTCACCTCAGATGAGAAACCTGGGCATCATCCTTAACACCCCTCTCCCTTACCTGTTACATCTAAATGGCACAAGACCTGTTACTACTTCATGAATTGTCCCCTTCTTCCCATCCCCATGGCTGTCCCTGCTTCATCAGGCCACCGTTGTCTTTCTCCTGAATTACTGCAACAGCCTGACGTCTCCCACCAATCCTGCTTCCACCTCACAGTCAAAGGTCTCTTCCTGTTAGTGAAACACAAATCTGATCACACTGCACCCTGTTACAACCTTCAATGGCTCCCTATTACCTTCTAGAGAACAGCCAAACTCCTTAGCGTGACTTGCAAGGCCCTTGATGTGGTCCTTCCTTAATTCCCAGCCTCAGGCTTTATCCCCTCACTCTGACCCCTCCCAGAAATCCTGAATGATGGCGGTTCCTTAATGATCCAGGCCGCCTCGCATCTCCAGGCCTTCACATGTGTTGTGGGAGTCTTCTCCCAGCCCTCCTCCCGGCTCACTGCTAGTCATCCTTCATTCAGCAGAGAAGAGCGAAAAATGAGCCGGAGAGGCAGGAGCCGTGGAGTGCCACGAAACCTGGGGGAGGAGCTAGCGTCAAGGAGATGCTGGTTAATGGTGTCAAAGACTGCAGAGAATGAAGAGAATGAAAAAGCACCAGCCGACCTTAGCAATCAGGAGAGAGCAGCGCCAGGGAGCAGATCACCTCCAAGGTGACGTGTTTGCTAGTTTGTCATATTCTTCCCTTTCCTCACATTTTGAAGATAAGCAATATTTTGAGGAGTCTCCATTCACATTTCTAGACTTTTGAAAAGCTCACAGACTCTCTGCTATCATCCAATTTGGCCTAATGGATAAATGGCTCTGGAGAGAGACAGATTGCTGACAGCATTGTTTGAACACCTGGATTTAGCTATGCCTGAGACCCTGCTGCCTAGATCTACTCTTAATATGATCCAATAAATTCCCCCGTTTTTAAAGTAAGACTGTTTGAATTGGGTTTCTGTCACTTGGGTTTCTCCCTTGCAAACAAAGGAGAAGTCACTGATCTTTTTCTGCAAGGGCTTGAATGGATTCTGTTCCATCCCCTCCTTTGCAGAAGAGGCCATTTGAAAAAAAAAAAAAAATCCAGAAATTTAAATCATTTGCTCTATGGCTCAGCCTCCCTCCCATATCAGCTTCTCTTCTGTCCCCCTCGTGTGGCTGGAATCACCTTCTACCTTGCGTCTTTGTTCTTGAGTTCTTAGGCCACATGTCTGCCTCATCCCTCCCCTCCCCTTCAATAAGTTCTGGGACAGCAGAGCCTAGGTCCATTTATCCATTTTTCTATCCATCATGGGAGAAGAGAACGTTTGGCTCATTAAATAAAACAAATGGATGAACGGATGAATGAAGGAGAGCATGAATTAACAAGGGAACTAATGAGTTAAATGAATAAGTCCAGGACAGGATAAAGAACCAAGAACTCAGCCCCTGCGGGTTCATGACTCAGCAGTGGCTGGGCAGTGTGGCCATCGCGGGCAGCCTCTCTCCTTATCGGCTTTGGCCTAACTGAATCGGAAATCACAAGCTGATGTTGGCCTCTTGTGGCTGCACGACTCCTCTTATCATCAGCTGCCGTCTCTGCAACTGCATTGGGTGTGGTAGCCATGGAAGGGGTTGCTTGGTGAGGGTGGACAGCCCCAGAGCTGTCCCCTGCAAGGAGGAGCTGAGGCGCCTTCATTTTTGAGGGCACACAGCTGACAGCCAGCCAGGGACAAAGAGAGAGTGAATAGAGGTGGAGGGAGGAAGGGCCGAGGCCCCCAGACCTGCTCCCAGCACTCCATCCTACCGTCACCGAGGTGGGGTGACACTGCCCTTTTGCTCCCAGGGATGCCTTTCCTCTCCACATGCTCTTCTTAGGGTTTGTTTAATCTGGGTTTTCCAGGCTAGGCTGTTGCCAGATTTCCCATCTGCACCAAGCCCCTAGGAGCAGCCCCAACAAGGCCACTTGATCCATCTGCCGGGAACTGAGCGAGTTGGGGTTCCCTGCACTTACTGCTCTAGTTCCCAGATCACCTGGCCAGCTAGGGGAAGCAAAGCCGCTCTGCAGCCATCAATGCCCCGGACACAGACGCAGAAGGCTCCCCATCTATCGCCACTCCTCTCCCTCCCTCTGTCACCGTCCACCAAGTGAGCTGGCTCGCCCCTCTGGGCACAGCTGGGACGGCTTCTCAGGTTCCTCCATCTCAGCCTCAGGGTTCAGAACACCTCAGGGCTACCAAGGGTCTTATCTTTCCTGCAGACACTCGACCCTTCTGTTCCATCCTCATTCCTCCTCTCAGAAGAGCCCCTCCAGTCCCTTCTATTCAGAAAAATACTTTTTATTTATTTTCCTGTCTATTACAAAGCAGCTGAGAGCTTTAAACAAATTAAATTAAAAATTCAATTTTTAAACAAATTAAATCCTCTTGTTACTGTGGTGGCAGGGGGACCAATGCTGGGACTGGGGTGCACTGGGGACCGGGGTATGGGAGTCAGGCAAGGGTGATTTACTTTGAATACAGGAAACCCAGGGTGCCCTGTGCCCCTGCCCCTGCTCCCCCTTCTGTGGGAGTTATCTCTGGGATCAGTCAGCAGCAGACGCAGAATTCATTCTCTCTTCGAGTTTTCTAAGGAATCCACTCACAGAAAATCCTAATAAGCAACGGAGATTTTATTGAAGATAACATTGAGAGGGTGGAAAAGAAGTGTACGTTACACGTCTCTTAGCCAGCTGTTTATAGATCCTCCATGGATCTGTCCGTCATCGGCCTGGTAGGCTGGGGTATGGCAGGGTTTCCCTTTTCTTTCCCCTTTTCTCTCCAAGAGACCCCAACTCGCTAACTCCTGTTTTCTCCCATCCAGACTGTTTTCACAAACATATCAAAGTCCTCTTTGAAGCGCCTTCAGGGCACTTCAGCTCCATTGTCTCCCAGTTTTTACACCCCAAACTCATTAACGACACCCAAAAAACAGATGGTTCTCTGGTTGGTAGGACCCATTCTTAGGAAGCCGTGAGAGGTAATAAACCAGAAAATAGGTGTTATAGAAACACATTTTACTTCATCTAAACAATCACCTCATGAGTTAGGACAATCATGGACATGGGTCGACTGGAGCTTAAAGGCTCACGTAACTGGTGGCTGTGGGACTTGAGGGAGGGAGTGCCTGGTCCCGGGGTGTCCCACAGCACCCCAGGGAGGACCTGCAGGCTGAACCCCTTGTCTCTAAACTCCACTCCAGGAAGACCAGGGCAGTCGCATGGCTGGTACCCAGCTGATAGGGACCCCTGCTTCCAGTGAATTCCCTCCAGTCCTCACACCCAAGGCCCAGGGAAGCAGGGGCAGCAGGACCACGCCATGCTCTCAATCAGGGCTCCACCATGTGTGCTCTCTGGACCAGCAGCATCAGCATCACCTGGGAGTTTGTTAGCAACTAGTACTGTCTGCTGTGGTTGTGGAAAGGGAGAACAGTACAGGTGTTGGGAATTTCCCATCCTTTACCTGCGGGAGCGTTGTTCTGTGGGGTGTGTACGTGCGCAGAGTTAGGACTAATGGGGTGATGGCTATAAGAGGCAGATTTAGGCTTAATATCCATCCACTCACTCTTTCAGCCATTTTTCTTATTTTGGGCAGGAGAAGGAGTTTTGATTTTAAATACCATCAAAGTTCTTTTTTTTTTTTTTTTTTACAATTTTAGTGTTTAAAAAAATTACCCAAGCAATTCACAAATATATTTTTATTGTAAAAACACTCAAACGTTATAGAAGTATATAGACTAAAAAAGAGAGCCCCTCCACCCCCACCTTCCCAGTTTCTCTTCCTTCCCCACCCAGTGGTCATCACTGTCCATAGCTTGGAGTGATTTATACAAACTGTTCTTCTAATCACTTTGTTTCCTTGGAGATCATTATATATCAGTATGTAAGGATCAACCATAGCCTTTTCTTAAGTTTAAATGTCCTCATTTTCTGGACTAGTGACATTTACATGGGTCGACATGGAAAAGATACAGAGAAATGCCAGCCCACTCCCTCTTCCACAAGCCACTCTTCAGTTGGTGGAGGAAACTTCCCTACCCAGGGGGCTCTTGGCGGGTGCACCTGTCTCCCTCCCCCAATTCCTTGGTGCCCTCAGGCCGCTCTGGGACCCTCTGGGACCAGGTGAGGGGCAGAGAGAACTTGGGGTTGCTGTGGAGGGTGCAGCCTGGTCTCTCCTTGCCTCCCCTCTTCTCAGGTCAGCCTGGAGAGGAAGGCCACGTGGACACTCCTTCCCTGCCCCCAGCCCCAAGGCTTTAGCTTCCTAATACCACGGGTTCCCCCCCGGGGCTGGAGGAGCTGAGCTGGGGGGCTGGCCTGCAAATTTCCCAGAATGCCGAGGAGGTGCTGGAGCCTCTTGTCTGTATAAAATACCTACCACAGTCGCTGTTTCCTTCTCACAGATGAATTCCCACCAGGAAGAGGGCCTGGCCAGCAGGTCAAGAGGTTGGAGGTTGACTAGGATCAGCGAGAAAACTTAAAGATGCCAAGCCTTTATTATCTATGCAAATTGCTTCCCCCCATGCACATGTGCACACACACATGCATACACACATGCGTGTACACACATGCATACACACGTGTACACACACGCGCATGAGACACGCCTCAAAAAGGGAGACAAGCACCCTAGCCAGGCTCTCATTAGTTCGAGCTGCCTCCAGCCACACAGGCCCCTCCTCCTCTCTGGGTCTGTTTCTTTATCTGTAACCTGAGGGAAGGGAGAGCCTGTTCGCAAAGCCCTCACCAGCGTTCTCAGCCTCCAGACGATCCTGGTTCTGGCCTCCAAGACTCGGGGTTATGGTTTTCTTAGAGAGGGCCTCTGGTCCCAGTGATGAGATGCCCCTTCTCTTGCGTGAATGGGGTGCGGGTGGGATTGGGGCTTGGGGTAGGGCTGCCCTGCTCACCTCCCTCCCCTCACACTTCCTTCTCCCCAGAGGTCTCAGGGGACCCCCTTGAGCCAGTTCTTGGGCCTGGAGCCACACTTGCTGAAGGCTTCCTTCCTGACCGCCGCCCCCTCAGCATCAGACAGCACAGACTTGCCTGGAGCCCGGCCAGCCCACTCCGGCCCCAGCTTCCCTCTCTTCCTCCAATGCCCTCCCTGCCACTTCTGCATCCCCACCTGAGGGTGCTTGGAGAGCGCAGCTTCTGTTTTGAAGCCGTCACAGCTCCTCCAGAATTCCATTATAAGGAAGCAACCCTCTCAGATATCTGTGTGAACTTTACTGTTCTGAGCCTCAGTTTCCCCACCACTCACATGAGGGGGTTGAGGGAGTGGCATAGCTTGGTGATTAAGAGCAGGGACTCTGGGGCCCGGCCGTGTGCCTTGAATCCTGGCTTCCCCTTTCGCCATCTCTGTGACCTTAGGCAAGTTCAGTTTCTCCATCTGTTCCATGGAGTATAACAGTACCTACCTCATGGGGCTGTGGGGAGGACGTGCATGATAACACAAGCACGTGAAGCACAGAGACCATGCTTGGCACGTGTGCAGTAATGGCTGTGTAGTGTCTGCTGATACCTCTCAGCGTGTGCCAGCCAGACTTCAGTGGAGTTCCCCTGACCAGGCTGCAACGACTATGAGGCTCAGCCTTCCAGCTCTGCCTTTCTGATTCTCTGAATGGGCAATTTCTTCCCACTCACCATGTGCAGAGAGGGGCACATGCACGTGGCTGCTGTGGCCACAGGTGCCTTTCCAGGAACCACACACTCAGAATTGCCAGGTATTGTGGACTGAATGTTTGTGTCCACCCAAAATTCATATGTGGGCCCAGCAATGTGATGGTATTAGGAGGTGGGTCCCCTGGGAGGCAATAGGTTTAGATGACGCCATGTGGGTGGCGCCTCCATGATGGGATTAGTGTCCTTACAAGAAGACAAAGAGAGGCCAGAGCTTCCTCTTCCACCATGAGGACCAGTGAGAAGGCAGCTGTCTGCACACCAGAAAGAGAGCTCTCACCAGATCCTGAATCTGCCAGTGTCTTGATCTTGGACTTCCCAGCCTCCAGAACTGTGAGAAATAAATGTCTGTTGTTTAAGGCCTCCTAGCCCTGTAATGGCAGCCTGAGCAGACGAAGACACCTGAACCTGGACACAGGTGTGCCTGCCACATGGAAGAGAGAAATAAGGTGGCACAGGTGGGGACAGTCTGCCACCGGCCGTCTTTGCCCCCAGAGAGATGGGGAAGGCACCCTTCCCCAGAGAGCTGGCTTCCTTTACCCCAATTTTACTGGTAGGGTTGGGGAAGAAATAGAGGGATCCAGAGATTTGGGAAAGGAGGGAGCAGTTTCTCCCCCAAGAAAACCGAGAAGCCCTCTTCCCAGGGGGTGGCTAATATCCCAGTGCTGGAGGGTGTGGTAGGTGTGACAGTGGAGAGGGGGAGTCTGAAGGCCCCCGCAGGCACCAGACAGGCAGGGTACACACACATCTCCTGTGTGTGAGAAGCTGCAGGGGCCAGAAACCTCTCTGCTGCCTCTGCTTCGAGCAGACTGAGGACGCTGCAGGTGTTCCCTACCCCAGGGGCTGTGGGAGAGCTGTTCCCTGGAGGAGGCATGACTCGGATGTCAGGGACCTCAGGGAGAGGTCTGAGGATGGTGACAGACCACTACGTTCCGGACCTCAGAGGAAGCTCCAAGGCAGCAGAGGAAAACACATCGATAAATCTGACTTCATTAAAATTAAGACCATCTGCTCGGCAAAAGGCACTGCTAAGAGAGTGACAAGGCAAACCACAGACTGGGAGAAAATATTTGCAAAACATGTATCTGAGAAAGGACTGGTGTCCAAAATATACAACGAACTCTTAAAACTCAACAATACGAAAACAACCCAATTAAAAAATGTGCAAAAGATCAGAACAGACACCTCACCAAAGAACACATACAGATGGCAAACAAACACACGAAAAGATGCTCCACGTCATAGTCATCAGGGAATTGCAAATTGAAACAACAATGAGTCACCTCCACCATTAGAATGGATAAAAGCCAAAACACAGGCAACACCAAATGCTGAGGAAGATGTGGAGGCACAGGAAGGTTCGTTCATCGCTGCTGGGAAGGAGAAAGGGCACAGCCACTTTGGAAGACAGTTTGGCACTAAGAAAACCAAAACTAGACATACTTACACCATATGATCGAGCAATTGTTCTCCTCGGTAGCTACCCGGATGAGCTGAAAATGTACGTCCACACAAAAACCAGCACGGGAATATTTATAGCAGCTTTATTCATAATAGCCAAAATTGGCATCAACTGAGATGTCCTTCAGGAGGTGAGCGGATAAACAAACTGGGGCACATCAGTACAATGGAACATTATCTAGCAACAAAAAGAAATGAGCTATGAAACCCAGAAAAGACACAGTGGAAACTTAAATGCATATTGTCAAGTGAAAGAAGCCAATCAGAAAAGGCTACATTCTGGAAAATGTATAATTATGGAGACAGTAAAAGATGTTTGGTTGCCTGTCTAATTAAGCTAATAATGGCTTCAATTTCTTTAACATATATTAGCCTAGTCAGACTATCCATTTCTTCTGCCAGATTGGCAAATTGAGAAGGGAGCTCTCAGTTTAATTGATGATCCTTTGAAGATAAAGCATGTTTTTTTTCCTCTGGGTATCTTTAAAATCTTCTCATTGCCTTTTCTTCCCCAGGAGTTTGACAATGAGACAACGAGGGGGGTGCGTGTGTGTTTGTGTCTTAGAATGAAACTCCAGACTGCATTGAGAGTTCACCAGTTTTTCCATTATTATCCTCTCTCTGTTTCAGAATCCAACCCAGGGCACCACATTGCACTTAGTTTTCAAGTGTCTTCAGTCTCCCGTGGTCTGTGAGTTTCTCAGTCCCTCCTTGTTTTCAGGACACTGACCTTCTAGAAGGTTACTGTCAGATGATCCTGTCAAATGTCTCACGATCTGGGTTTGTCTGATATTTCCATCATGATTAGACTGGGGTTACTGAGCTTTGGAAAGAATATCAGAGGTGAAATGCTCTTCTCACGTGACTTTGTTTTTATCCTGTGTGACGGCTGCTGAGTTTATTGAATCTATGGGTTGATGAGCTTCATCGATTTTGGCCAACTGAATGCTGGGTGAAGAGTGACTGTGCCCGGTCCAGACCCAGCCCCCAGGAGGCATCACAGGTCTCTGATTACCCCTCTGTGCTACCATGCTGGCCAAGGTGCCTGAGGGACCACCAGAGCACACCTGAACCCAACCTGCAGCTTGGGGCCAAGCCACTCTGAGCTCAGCCTGGAGCAAGTGATCCCTAGACGTCCTGTTAGATGCAGGAACAAGAATAAAAGGTCACCGTTGGAGTCCACTGACTGTCAGGTGTGCTTCACTACTTGCAGGAGCCAGAGCATCCCACGGTTCCTCCTTCCTCCATCCCGAGCACTGGTGCTGGGAGCCCGGTGCTGACCTACTTCTCCCGGGCCACAGGGGTCCTCCACCACCCTGTCACCTCCTCTTCTCTCCCTCCCTATGAGCCAAGTTTAAAAACAGCCCCAGATCCAGAGGGCCAGCACTGAGCTCACTTCCCTTCCTCTCAGCAGCACGATGAGGCTTAAATGATACAGTGTCAGGGAAAATTTCAGCACAGACGTATTTTCTATAGAGAGGAAAATTACAAAAAGATAAAGAAAACAATCCCCAAGAATCTTATTTCTGCTCTACGTGAAATGATTTATGTGAACTGTCCAACTAGCAGTGAATTGTCACGCAGCAAAATAACTGTAGGTCATGAAATACAGGAGTAATCAAGTTTTATTTGACAATAATATTAAATTCCATTTGTTTATTCTAGGACATCTGTTTATCATGTAGTAGGCCAACCTGCTCACACAACAAAAAATTGAAGGTATATGGCCGACCACTCTTCTGGAGCCTGGAGCAGGTACAGATGGCTAGGACAGGGGAGGACAGTGGTACAGGGAAGCAGCTGACTCTGGCCACTTCTTTCAAGTCGTGAGTACTCTGGGCTGGGGTTTCACGGGCTCCTATAAGCCCAGAACCTTTGGAGCAGGATGGAGCAGGGGGAGGAGGGGAAGGAGCGACTCTGTGCAGGATACGATTGTCTGCTTCCATGGTACTTTCCCCCCTCTCCAGTCCAAATCCGGGGCCAAACGCCGCCCTTCACACTTGCTTCTAACTTCTCAAACCCCTCCAGCCTGGCAGTTTTAAATTTCTGGCTCTCATGCTATCGTTCATTTACCCCAATCAGTTACTAAGCTCCGCGAGGCCAGGCACTCCATCCTCTCCTCCTCTGGGATCCTGCCCACGCTCCAGAATGGTGCCAGTGGACTTTGGGGCTGGAAGATTCCACACACAACGTGCAGCAGCCCAAGGAGTGAGATGGGAGTGAGGGGCACAGGGGCCAACCTGGGAGAGGACGAGGTGAAGGCTGGGGGCACCTGTGCAACCCTCCTCTTACCCTGACAAAGGAAATTCCTTCTCCAGAGAACAAAACTGACCAATCCTTAGCCCTCGTCTCCTTCTGTTCCGCCTCATCAGTGATTTGGGAAGGAGAGAATGGAGAGGATGCCCGAGGCCGTGAGAGCATCCCAGTGCCAGGCAGGGGAGTCAGCGTTTAGGGGGAAAGGCTGCGAATCGTTACTAAGCGCCTGCTCTGAGCTAGCCGCTGGGCCAGGCGCTTGGCACACAACCTCCCTTCCATGCTTTAAGGAGGCCTTACTTCCACCATCTTAGTGCTCAGGAAAGGCAGGCTTGAAGGAGCTAATTAACTTCCTTCTGGTCCTTTGGCTGGAAGGGAACCGAGGCACTACTCAGTCTAAGCCTGTCCTGTCTCCCAAAAATCTCGAGCCAGAAAAGGGCTCCAGAGAGAAGCTGTTCCAGGTCCTGACAGTAGACAGGTAAAGTGTTAGTGCTGTTTCTCCAAAGACCCAGGGGATTCGAGGGAGAGAAAGAGTGTGTGTGTGTGTGTGTGAGTGTGAGTGTGTGTGTGTGTGTGTGTGTGGGAGAGAGCGAGAGAGAGGTGGGGAGGATGGTACTGAGGTCAGAAAGAAGAGTTTCATCCACATTCCTACCACCTGAACCCCAGAGGAGGGAGACGGAACTCCACACACACGTCTCTGGCCAAGTAAGGGGTGGGCCTGGCCCAGGCTGGGAGAGGAGGCCTACACCACACTCCAGAGCACCAGAGCCTCAGATCTTCTAGAAAGGCTCCCAGACCACGCCAGTGACCAGGGCCTTCAGAGGTGAGCTCCCCATCCCTCTCCTTTCTACGTGAGGAATCTGAGGGGCTGTGTAGGCAGGCCCCTCTCTCCCTAATGCCTGTTTCTTTCCCAGAGCCCTGAGGCCCCAGAAACCATCCACCCCCTGCCCATTGCAGCACCCACAGCAGGACCCGACCCAGCACAGGGCCATTCAGTTCTCCAGAGGGAGCACGGCCCTCACAGCGACTGTCCTGCCGGGAGGGGCTTCCCGTGCAGGCCGGTGCTAGGGCAGAGCTCCACTGAAAGTCATGATGGGCAGACAGAGGAGGGAGCAGATGTCGGGCGTGGCCTGGGCCGGCAGGTAGGGGGGCCTCTGGGGTGGGGAGCAGAGGCTGCTCTTCTCTGGCTTGTAGCAGGGTGAGACCTCACACCTGTGGGGCAGGGCAGGAGTAAGGGCAGGCCTGTGGGTGGGGGTGGGTGCAGAAATGGACCCTTCCCTGGGACCCCGTTTTGCTGAAGCAGAGCCGGAGGCCCCCTTTCCTACCTGACCACACTCTGCAGGATCTTCCTCTCGTCCTGGTCCAGACACACGGCAAAGGAGCAGGCGTTGGAACCAATGATCTGCACCTTGTCCACTTTGATCTGCGATGTGCTAATCTGGAAGGGAGGCCCCGGTCAGTCCCCAGAGCCCCGGCCACAGAGCTGCCAGCCCTGGCCAGTTCTTTCCCTTGGAACTGCCCAGTCAGGTCTGGGGGAGCCAGGATGGGAGGACAGCCGGCTCAGGGGGGGTCCTGAGGGCTCCCTCAGGCCCTGCCTCCTCCAGCCTCTGCTCTTTCCTGAGTCTGGAAGAAGCAAGCGCCCCTGAGGAGAAACCACACCGCCCACTGCCCTCACCACGAGAGCCCCAGGGGTGCCTCCGCCTTGGACCCAGGGCCCTACTCGCATCCCCCACAGCCCCTTTCCACACCAACGCATCCTCTCCCAAGGGCACCCCTTCCTCCCAGACACCCCACCACTCCACACCCATGCACGCCCCTCACCTGGCCTCTCTCCCACCCACATGCCCCCCGAGGCCTCAGACACCCCTCCTCGTGCACACGCGCGCCCGCTGCTCTCCCGGGGCGGCCCGCACCTGGTTGAAGCCCTTCTTGGACTTGGAGTTCTGCCTCTTCACCACCTCGGTCAGACGGAGCGTCAGCGCCTCCGTGCTGGAGTCTGAAGGGCAGGGGGGCTCAGGCCCGGCTCGGAGGCCGCCCGCCCCCCCGCGGCCCACACGCCCCTCACCTAGCTCCTCCGGCATCCGGCAGGCCTTGTGGAGGTTGACGGAGGTACAGACCTTCTCCATGTTGCTCCAGCGACTTCGTCCACTGATGGCCCCCTGGAAACAGTGGAGCCAGACCCATTCAGCCCAGGGTCCCCCGCGCCTGCCACCTCCTCTTCAGAGGGACACCGCAGCCCTGCCAGTGATGGGGGTCGCCCGCAGTCAGCACACCCCAGGAAACCCTCTCATTCTCCCGAGTCCGCCAGCTTCTTCACCAAGAGCCCCTGGACCCCTGGACAGAGCTTGGGGACTCCCAGGAGGAGTGTCAGCTCAGTGGCTTGGTCCGTGAGCACAGGAGCTGAGAGCACCTCAAGGTGGGGTCTTGATCTCCTTCTAAGCCCAGAGAGAGGAAGAGACCAGCCACGGGCCTGGAGTCTCCGGCAGAGCCAGGCCGGAACCCCTCTTTGGGTCCTTGTCTGAATGTGTCTTTCACTGGGGACTCCAAACCCAATGGTGTTTCTCTTGGCTCAGCTTACTCGACCTCACAGGAGACTTTGATACTGCTCAGCCCTCTTCTCTCCTGGTTTCCCCACCGCCTCCCTGGCCTCTGCTCTGCGCAATCACCTCCCTCTGCCCACCATCCCATGAAGCAGGGCTCAGGACCTTCTCCGAGGTCTTTCTCCACTAGGGAACCTCACCCGTGCCCGGCTCCATGACCACCTAGACACCCGTCTTCACAGTGGACCTCTGAGTTCAGGCCCATCCATCCAGCTGCCTGTTCTGACTTTCTCCTTCTACCTCTCAAAGGCACCTCCAAGTCAACACGACCTAAAACAAACTTATCATCTTCCCCCACTGGACCTGGGCTGCTTCTGAGAAAATGGTAGTATCATGGTACTCACTCAAGACTGAAATCCAGGAGTTTGGCCCTCTCCTTTTCCAAGCCAGCCCTGAGCCCTGCCGCTCAAGTAATCCACATACAGCTCCCATTTCTCCATCTCCAGCACCAGCACCAGCACGCCCGAGTGTGGGTGGCCACACTTCTCTACTGGACAACCACCAGAACCTCTGAACTCGCCTTCCTGATCCCTTGTGGACCCGGCCAACATGTTCTCCACAGAGCTGCCAGAGGGCGCTGCCAACCTCGAATCTGATCTTATCACACTCATTCCTAGCCCCACCCCAAACTTAAACCCCTTCAAAGGATACCCCATGCTCTTGGGACAAGGACATAACCCCTCTCATTGCAATCGAAGCCCTTGGTATTCTGGCCCTACCAATTTCTTCAGCCTCACTTCATCATCCTGTTCCCACTCACTCTCTCTGCTCCAGCCCCTCTGGCCTTCCTCCAGAGCCCTTTGATATTCAAGTTCTCTCTCACCACAGGGCCTTTGCACATGCTGTTCCCTATACCTGGAGAACACACCCCTCTCTTCTTAGTTTAATTAACTAACCCCTGGTTTTCTTTCTAATGTTGACTCCATGTCCCTTCTCAAGAAAGCCTTGTCTAAATTTCCTGACTGGGTTGAATAATCCCCCTAGAGGTTCTCACAGTTCCATTTACCTCTCCTGCATCTGTGTGTCACAGTTGTAATTATACATGTTGTGGGATCACCTCACCCATGTCCACCACCCCCTCTAGACCGGAAGCACTTTGTTCCCTCTTGTGAATGTTTCTGTGCCCAAAACAAAGTCTGGGACACAGTAGGTGTTCAACAAACACCTGGCATGTAGGACTCAGTGAGGGTCAGTCCCTCCTGCCCACCACTTTGGCCACCAAGTGTAAGGTAGCCCCATCATCACTATCCCATCCGCCCTTTTACTGCCTTGTCATTGGTCACCACTCTTTGGCATTATCTTGGCCATTTTTGTCTCCCGGCTTCTTGTCTGTCTCCCTCCTCTGGGAAAATGAAGGTGGGCCTAGCCCTCCCTGCTATTTCCCCTTGCCCAGCACGGAGCCTGGTACGAGGAGGTGCTAAATAAATAGCTTTTGAATGGCTGAAGGAAGCAAGGAAAGGAGGCAGGAGATGAGGCAGGAGGACGCCCCCTCTGGGGGTCCAAGTCTCCCTGGCCTGTACCCCGGGGTGTGATGCGCTCAGAGACCCATGCCCTCTCGTGTGCTCATGGGCACCCCCTCCCACCCCTGCCCCACAACTCTCCCCCCACCAAACCCACCTCCCACGCACCCGGCCAGCCCCACAGCCCCACAGCCCCCGGCCTCTCCCTGCTCTGCCCCTGGAAGGCCCAGCCCTGCCCCCTCTCGCCCAGCCCTGGAGCCGGGCCCCAACGCCTCATGGAAGCTGCTGAGCACATTCAGGTCAGGGGAGAACACAGCAGGAGGGGGCCTTTGGAGGCAGAGGGGGAGAGGGAGGTCCACTCCCTCCCCTCCCCCTTCTCTCAGCCTCCAGGAGAGCCTGGGAGCCCGGGAGCCTGCTGCGGCCCTCCGGCTTCAAGACCCAGAGACAGGGGGTCGGGCTCTGGCAGGGAAGGATCAGCAGCAGATCCCGGAGAGGAATGGGCCCCAGCATCGGTCTTACCTTGCTGTAAATAATCTGTAGTGTTAGAGGGATGGCCTCCCGGTCACCATCGATGCCCAGCCTCTTGCTGCCAGGACCTGTGCCACACATAGACCCTTCATTTCTTCTCTCTTCGGGGGCCCCTCAGAGACCCTGGGACTCCGCCTCCCTGCCCCACCTCCCTGATGACCCCTCCTCCTCAGGGTGCCACCTCCCAGGCCCCGCCTCTCTCTAGCCCCGCCCCCAGGGGGGCCCCACCTCCTAGCCCCATCTAGCCCGGCCTCCCCACCCATTTCCACTGGAGCTCAGGCAGCACCCACCCGAAGCCTTGATGGCGCGTGTGGCAGCAGAGTGACCCAGCTCCAGGGAGTGGATGAAGATCTCTGTCGTCTTCTCCCCGGTGATGAACGTCAGCTAGAGAGGGCAGGAGCGTGGGCATCAGTGTGGACCTCCCGCAGGGGCCCACCAGGCTCCTCCAGCACAGGCGGGCGGTAGGGGGGCGGTAGGGGGGCGGTAGGGGGGCGGTAGGGGGGCGGGCCCTGCAGGGCGATGCTGACCGCGGGCTGCCAGTGAGTGTGGGGCGTGGGGCGTGGGGCGTGGGGTGTGGGGGCTGGGGGCTGGGCCTTACCTCTGTCTGATAGACCTGCAGCAGCACCGGCCGGGCGGCAAAGCGGCAGTAGTAGAGCAGCATGTCTGCCAGGATAGGCAGCTGGGCAGGGGAGCCCTCCAGGGGCCGCGAGTCAGCCTTCAGAGACTGCTGTTGGAGGGTTGGGGCCCCACGGGAGGGACAGGCGGACAGAGTGAGAATGGGAATATGAGAGGAGAAGAGACAGGCAAACGCAAACACACACTCACACACACACACACACACACACACAGAATAGAGACAGAGAGGCAGAGGGAGCCAGGCAGAAGGATGGTGAGATGGAAGCAGGAAACGGAATGGTCAGGGGAAGACCCACAGCCCGGCCCCCATATCCTCCTCACTCAGCACATGGGCCTCTGGGGAGGCCCCTGCCAGGTTGGACAAAGCTGGGAGTTGAGGACGGGGGGCTGAAGCCTAATGCCCCGGACCCTTCTGAGGACCCTCCCTGTCACAGTAGTGACCCCAGCCCTGGGTTCAGGCTCAGTCTTGCTTTCCACCCACCCTCCCTGCTGGTTTCCAAGTGAGCCCTGGTCCTCCACGGAGGCCTCAAGTAGATCCCCCAAACTAGGGCCTTCAAGCAAAGCTCGGTGATGCAGCCTGTGGGCCCTCTCCCCCGACCCAGGGGCCATGGACTTACCTGGCAGAGGACTTCAGGGGGCAGGTGCATGAGGCCCAGCACATTGCGCTCATACCAGGGGTCGAGCATGCCGAGGTAGTGGGAGATGTCATTGGTGCTCTCCTCCCATGGGGCCGTGCCCAGCTCCTGGGGCAAGGGGTGAGAGTCATTCCCAGTCACTCAGGAGGCCTGCCATGAAAGCTCCGGAGCCCTCGATGGCACTTGCAGCCCCAATCTGAGCTTCTCCCTGCCCCTGCACAAGTCTGACAACTTTCAGTCTATGTCATCCAGCAAAATGCCATCCCCACGAACAGGGCAGGGACCACTCCTGGGGGTAAGGCCCAGGCAGGAGGAGATACCCCATAAACACAGGTGATTGCTTTTGGTGACTTCCAACCAATCCCCTTCAGGTAAGTGGAACCTGCTCATGTCCACTCTACTCTCCCACCCCATTTGGTTCAGGGCTGGGGACATACTGCAGGGCTGGGGTGCCTTGGGGAGTCTGTGGGGAGTGGGGGTGTCTGGCTCCGAGGGGACGGGCAGGTGCTGGAGCTGGTCCCATGGCTTCGCTTCACGGGCACGTAGAAGAACTGAAGCTTGAAGAACCGTGTGAGGAGTGGGCGATTGTTCTCCAGTTGCCTGGCAAGAAGAAGATGGTGAGAAGGGAGCTCCTTGGTCCCTCTTGGACCCTAAGCGTCAAGCCCCAGATTCCACCAGCACCACCACCCTGCTACCCAGGGCAGAGTGACACCCCCCCTTACAGCTCTTACCTCAGGTTGCTATAGGCCCGAGCCACCTTCCCCGAAATCCGATCGGAGCCAAAGACCACGACACGTAGCGTGGAAGCCTTGGGGTCCTCATCCCCACTCAGAAAGGGGCGGCGGCGCCGATGGCGTGATGCAGGGGCCAGGAGCCAGCCGGGCAGCTGAGTGCTGAGCTTGGGCTGGGGCAGGGAGCGGGAGCGCTGGGCCCGGGTGGGGGGCAGTGTCAGGCTGTCCAGGGGGCTGCAGAGGCTCCCAGCCCGTCGCAGGGGCAGGGTATCCGAGCTGCCCTCCAGGCTCCGAGAGTCCCTCCGCAGGACCAGCTGGCTGGTGCTCTTGAAGAGTTTATAGATCCTGTTGAACTTCTGCCCAGGCCTGCGGTGGCCCCGACACTCCTGGCTGCCAGGCTTCTTGGGCCACTCAGAGGAGCTCTCCTCACTGTCCTCCACGTAGCCACTGTCCATGCCATCCGAGAGGCCAGAGACAAAGGAGGTCAGCAACTGACGGGAGAGCGTGGGCCCTGAGGCCTGGGACAAGGCAAAGGACAGGGCGGAGTCGTGGGAAGCTGCCGAGCTGGTGGAGAGCACTGAGTCCCTCTCGGCACAATGCCCATCAGTTTCCAAGTCCTCCTCCTCCTCCTCCTCTTCCTCCTCCTCATCATCCCCCAGGATTCCTGGCTGGAGCAGCTCCTGTTCCTTGAGCAGGATTTCCTGCAGGATGTCTGCAAGGAAGCAAGGGGAGGCAGTGTCTGGGTGTCTGGGCCCTGGAAACCCCTCTCACACACCCTTGGGAGGGGTGACAGGCTCAGACAGAAGGGAGCTGAGAAGAGGACAGAAGGAGGGTCAAAGCCAGCCCAGGACTCAGAGCACTGCCCCCTGCCCTGCTTAGAGTCTGCTCAGGTGGGAGGGCTGGTAGGGGTGGGAGGCAGCCGCACAGCCCCGGGGCTGAGAAGACAGCCCCAGCCGCTGCTTACCGAAGCTGTCCTGGTTCCAGCTGTAGGTGTAGCACCTGGCGACAGGGATGGGGATGGTGCGCAGCTTGCCAGGTTTTGCAGTGCCTGAAGAACAAGGCGGGCAGGGGGTGAGGCTGGGAAGGGCCTGGAGACCGGTCCTCAGCTGAGAGAAGAGACCAGAGATGGGAGAGGACCAGCCAGGGCCGCACAGCTGGGCGGGCCAGGGCTGAGCTGGAAGGCGGGATGCTGGCTCGCAGGCAGAGGGCCTTCTTTCAAGCCCACCGTGTAGATGCCATGTCTTTTATAAGCTGTGAGCACGTGGCCAAGTCACAATGTCTGTGCCTCATATTACAGGGTCCAAACGGGGAAACACTGGCACTATCTGAGCAGGTGTTTGTGGGAATGGTGTCTCTTCTAGATGGACTTGTAGAGAGGGTGTTTCCCAGGGGCTAGGTGGGGCCATGTGACTGAGGTGGGCTCAAAGGGATGGTGCAGACGTGATGTGTGCAACTTCTGCATTATCTTCCGCGTAAAACAAGCCCCTTGCCCTCCATTAGCTCTCTCTTTTCCTCCTCTCACGAGCCCTCACGTGACGGTAACCCAACCCTAACGCTGCAGACAGGAACCCGGCCCTGGGGGATGGGGGAGCCAGATGTTGAAGAACCTGTGTCCCTGACTGACTGTGTGGAGCAGAACCCCCAGGCCGACCGGGCTGCTCACCTGGGAGCTGGGACAGGCCGTGGGGAAGAGGGGCCCCGCTCTCCTGGGAGCCTCACCTAAGACACCAGGGAAGCCGGCTTTCTCTCCCACCGCCTGCAGCTTGGTCCTGAGCCACTGCCGCGCCTCCGCTGCATCCCCGATGCCAGATGCCAGCTCCTGGGCCTCTGCAGTCTCCGTGAAGATGTCCTCGAGCTCTGCCAGGGTCTTGGACTGAAAGCCCAGGAGGAGATAGGCTTGCTCCTGTACCACGGCCTGGCGGCCGACTTCTCCAGCTCCCAGGGTCTTATTGAGGGCAGCTGTGACCAGGCCATATCACCCACTTCTACCCACGGCAGCTGACCAAGGAGCCAGGTCTCCTCCCCCACTCCCTATTCTCAGCAAGTGGTCATGAGAGAAGCCCAGAGCCAGGGCACTGCAGAGTAGGGAGGGACTTCAGAGGTTACCACTGTGGCCCAGAGAGGGCAAGGGGCTGTCCAGGGCCACACAACCAACCTATTACAGAACCTGGCCTGGAAGCCAGGTCTTCCACCTTCAGCCTAAAGCTCGTTCCTATACCACCCAGCCCATGCAGTCCTCTGAGGCTCTGTGCCCAGCCCCACTGCCCAGGGTGCCACCCACCTCGGTCAGGACCCAGCACAACAGAAACCCTCTCAATGAGGCCAGCCCTCCAGCCAGTGCCCTGCCATGTCACTCAGGGTGAGGGAGGCCAGTGTACCCGAGAGACCAGCACTGAGATGGAGCAGAGAGGGGACTGTGCAGGAAGGGGGTGGTGCTAAGCCCCAGGGCCCCAGGCACATACCTGCAGCCTGCAGTGCAGGCCTGGGAGGTCACAGTGGGCCCCAAAGGTGGCCTGGAAGGCATGCAGGAGCAGGGTGATGTAGGCGCTGTGGGGCGTGTGCCCAGGCGTGCTCAGCTTGTCGGCCACGGCGAGGAACTCGGCCTGCACCTCCACTGGGTTCAGCAAGAGCACGGTGCTGGGGGCCCAGAGGACAGGTCGTGGGCACTGGGCAGCCACACAGCTCACCCCTTGGAGGCCCGGGCCTCTCACAGCCCAGGCAGGGCCTGAGGCCAGGGGCTCGAGGGTCCCAGTTCCAAGAAGAAAGCTCATTGTCTACTTTTGACTATTTTTCAGCTGGTGTTTTCAAAGGCCTTTTAAAAATTAAACTTAATTTTCAAAAATAAATTTTACATTAATTTTAATCTAAATATTTTTCCTATAGGATATCTGAATGGATGCAAGATTACTCAACAGGACTGTATTTTAGGTGAGGTGGCTTGAAGCTGGGTGGTCATTTTGGGAGAAGGGGGAGGGAGCAGGGCACCCATGATGTGTCCTGCAGTGTGGCCTCAAGTTTCAGCCCACGCCCTGCTCTCAGGCCAAGGCTCTGGGCACGGGGTGACATCTGCCAGGAGGAAGGGGTGCCACGTCAGGGCTGCATCTGACTCCTCTGCTCCCAGGGGACGCCTTTACTAACTTCCAAAGCCATCACACGGGCTAGCATGGGCTGGGCGGGCGGGGGCAGCCGCCTCTGTCTCCCTTCTTCCTGGACCCCTGGCCCTCTCTCTCTTGGTGCCAGTGTTGCAATTTTTCATCATGTAAAATTTCAAACATACTCAAGTGTTAAGAGAACTGTGGACCCTAAGGTGTTGATCCGTCAGTTAACAGTTAACAAAACCTGGCTGTTCTCAGGTCACCCACGCCAACCCTCCATCACTGCATTTTTTTGAAGCGTATTTGAGCATCGTGGTATTACACCTATAAATGTTTTAGTATGAACTGCTCACACTTGCTCTTGCTCTCACAAACCTGCTGTGTTTAAACCCAGTGCATGGGGCCGGCCCAGTGGCGCAGCGGTTAAGTGCGCATGTTCCACTTCTTGGTGGCCCGGGGTTCGCCGGTTGGGATCCTGGGTGCAGACTTGGCACCGCTTGGCAAAAGCCATGCTGTGGTAGGCGTCCCACATATAAAGCAGAGGAAGATGGGCACAGATGTTAGCTCAGGGCCAGTCTTCCTCAGCAAAAAGGGGAGGATTGGCAGTAGTTAGCTCAGGTCTAATCTTCCTCAAAAAAAAAAAACAAAAAACACCATAAACCCAGTGCAAAGAAGCACCAGGCAGGAGGCATTCCCACCAGTTTCTGTGGACGTCTGTCCCAGAGCCGGGCCCCAGGGTCAGGGCACAGCAACAGGACCAGGCTCTGTCCGAGTCCCCATCATTTGGGAAGAAACTAATTTTGATTTCTCTATTTGTAAGAGAAGGGAGGGGAGCTCAAGTAAGCAACCTCTAATGAACCCCTCTCCATCACTGAGTGCCGGATCATTCCTTCTGCAGTCATGTGCTGAGCTCCAGTGTGCAGGACCAGACCAGCCAGGCCCACGCCCTCACCACCTGCTTGCTTTCTCTGCACGCTTGTTCCCCACTTATCAATAACAGAAGTGAGACCATCTCCTTGCTCTAAGCTCTTTCTACTAACCTCTCTGTGCCTTAGTTCCCTGATCTAAAAATTCTTTCTCAAGGGTTGACATGAGGATTGAATGATATAGCGATGCTTATAACAGCACCCGGACCTCAGTAAGTGCCGGAAAGGCAGTGGTGTTTTCTTGCCATCCACCTGCCTCGGCCCACTGGAGATGTCTTGTTTGCTTACTAAACTAACCTTTACTAAACATTTTTATGTCCTTTCTGTCCCTCTCAAAATCTACCAAGGACTTTTGTGTTTGTTTTCACCTAGAAAGAACTCAATAGCTGTTTGCTCAGGGGGTGAGTGAGCATTGAACCCCCAGGGCTGAGGACGGAGAGGGGCTGACGAGGAAGAGCTGTGAGCCGGTGATGCTGGGTGCTCCAGGCTCCCAAGAGTCCAGGTGAGACGCACCCACACACCTGGGGACCTGCAAGGGCCCTCAGAATGGAGGCAGCTTCTCTAATGCTTTCCAAACTGCTTTACCCCTGAGTGGTAATGGAATCAATTTGGGGAGTCGCAACCAGAAATGCTTTTTAAGTGAAATGGAACAGAATGGGACAGGCTCGTCCTATGGGGTAGGGAAACGTTTCATGAAATTTGTTTCAGCTCTGTGTGTGTGTGTGTGTGTATACATGCTAGGCTGTCATATAAAATGCATTTCTTATTATAGGTTCTGGTCCAAAAAGTTTGGAAAATGCTGTTTTCATAATAGGCAGAAAGATATGGTAGAAAGAGCATGGGCTTTTGAGTAAGACTGAGGTTCAACTCCTGACTCAGACAGTTACTAGCTGTGTGACCTTGGGGAAATCACTTGACCTCTCTGACCTCCAGTTTCCTCATCTGAAAAGTGGGGGTGAAGTGAGGTAATGTGTGCCCAGCACCTGGCATGATCAATGCAGGTGGTTTTAACCTTTTTTTTTTTAAGTCTCAGATCTGTTTAGGAATCTGATGGAAGACCCCTGGTCTAGAAAAATGAACCTGTGCACAAAACATCACCAGCAGTTCCAGGGGTTTCCTGGTCCCCTTGAAGCCTGTTTGTTGGTGGCTGGGGTGGAGGGAGTGCAGCGATGGAAGGATGCTGGATGCACAGGGTGGGGCAGCGTAGGAATGGTGAAACTGGGGTAGGGAGTGTCCCCCATCCCCCACCCTGGTTCCCCCTCCCAAAGGGCACTCACACGGTGGAGGAGCGCTGATTCTTGATGGGCAGGCCCTGCTCGGCCCTCACCAGTCTCTGGTAGGAGATTCCTGCAGCCAAAAACCAAAAAGAGTTCATGGGTTTACCTGCTCCTCCAGTGATCACGGCCTTTCGCCTCTCGGCGAGCCCAGCACTGGAGAATTGGGTTGGAGACTCCCAGATGAGGCTCAGGGCAAGGGTAGATTAGACCTGTGGCCTCTGGGGCCCTTAACCGTCTACGATGCCCAGGCCCCACCTTGGCTTGACCCGCCTGGCAAAGCTTTGCTCTTTCTTCAGAGACTGTGGGTGGAGCACCCTGGGAGGAGAACCAAGGTCAGGGTCTCCTGCTGTCTCCTGCTGTCCAGTTATTCCTGGTTCCTGTCACTGTGACCCTTTCCGACCCCCAGGTGTCCTCCTGCAGAGGGTGTGCCAGGCACCCCTCGCCTATTTGCTCACCCTCAGCACCAGCCAGGTGGTGAGTTTCTGCAGCTTCTGCCTTCCCGTCAGCGTCCCACGTGCTCTCAGGGGACCCTCAGGGGACCGCGGTCTTGCCTGATGTCCCTCCCTAAGGCTGAGCCTCTGCACCACAGCCCCCCTCCCAGCTTTCCTCTCCAGCTTCTTCCACCTCTCCATCTCCTCTGACTTCAAACGTGCAAAGAAGAAAGGAGCCAAAGTTTTTCCTTTTTTCCTGCAACTTGACTCAGTTCTGTAGCTGGAAAATAGAGCCTTCACAGTGTGTATTGAGTTCTATGTCAACCACGGAGAGGAGACTAAACCGCATTTTGCTCTCCTCACCGACGAGGATAACAGAGGCGAGGGCTGGGATCCAGGGGGCAGGGCCACCCGGCACTGGGGCTGAGCTGGGAGCAGGAAGACAATTCCCTCGGGTTTAAGTGGGAAGCCAAGACTGGGGTTAGAGCCGGCTGTAAACAGAAGGCCGTGCTTTTTGTTTAGTAAATGGCAGAGAATTGCCGATTTATGCTCTTCTAATTTAGGACCTAATTGCTTTGATTTTGGGCCTTTCATTTGATGTTTCTCTTATGTAATTATGTAATTAATGTTAGGTCTGTTTTGATAGGGGAGTCCCTGACACCGTGGCTATTACTACCAGGACTTGGGACACCATCTGGTGGCCGCTCACGTGCATGACAGAGAAGAGCTCCCCTGGTCGCCCCCTCAGCCCCCCAGGAAAACGCTGTAGTGGAGGTGACGGCTCACCCCCCACAGGCTCCTGGCCACCAAACACACAGACAAGCAAAGTCTTCTCTTGACCCTCCTGCACTTTCACTCTGTAATGTTTTTAGCAGGTAACGCACAGCCCACTGACCCATCGCTTCGCTCCAGTTCTGCCTCTACTGACCCGGGACACACAGTAGGCTGTGCTCCAGGGGCGGCAGCGGTGAGATGGCTCTCCCTCCACATCATGTTTCCCCCTGCACGCCAGCCGGCCTTCGGCTCCCCAGCCCACCGCCCTCCTGAAGCTTGACATGGCCTCCCCATCCCAAAGCCCAACGCCCCGACCTTCTGCTCCTCCTCCTTGAACCATCTTTTTTTTGAGTGTTTGATACTGTTGACCACTTTCTCCTTGGAGCTTGCTCTTCTCTATTAGTCTTCACGACAAGGAACGTTCGTTAATATATTTCTCTACCAGTCTGGTGATCTCAGGATCCTTGAGTAGACACATCTTGGGACTGCAGTGCAGTCGGACCCAGGAGCTGCTTCACGTCTATGCAGACTCCGTACAACTTTGTGTTTGCCTGGTTTTGCTGCTGGGGGCATTTAGGAGGATGTCTGTGCCTCTGGGTACACCTGCCCCAGAGGGAGTTGTTTGCAGAGTTGAATATTCTAGATACAATAGTTCCCAAGTGGGGCAGATATCACCAGCTGGAATTCCTCCACCCCGCCAAAGACACCCATCAAACACCCCCTCCTTGGATTCTCTTCATAATGGACCCCCCTGCTTCTAACAGGGTTTGGGGATAATGGAGCACTGGACTGGGGCCTGGGCTGGGGACCCATCAGAAAAGACTGTGCACTGTGAAGGGGGCTCTGAGCCTCTAAACTTTTGTGCAAACTGACTCCTTTAAGCTGGGCCACCTCCCTACCTGCTGGTTCGTGTGGTGAGGCTGGAATCGTCTCCCAGTGTCTGGTACGCCAGGCGGGCCTCTGTTTTCATTATGTTACCTAGTGGCCCTGGGAGGTGGGGACTGCTGAGGCGGGTGTGTGATGTCAGTCTCAGGACCACCCTCCCTCCATCCTCCCTCCCTCCACAGGGAGGCTGCATCAGGGGCCTAGGGCGATGGGGGCCCCTCTCCCATTGATCTCATCACGCCCCCTCCCCTGGCACCTCAGCAGATGGGAACGACTCTCTAGGACTGGCTTCCTCAGACAAAGGCTGGTCCAAGGGCTGAACAAAAAATGTGCCTAGGTTGTTCCTATGTCAGGTCCTAGCAAGGAGGAAACAGAAAGAGCCACCTCGTCCAGGTGAAGGCTGGGGACTGGCAAGTGGGAGCGGGCAGCGGGCAGTCACAGTGCAGTTCAAACACCTTGCCCAGGCACGTGAGCCCCTTCACAATCCCAGCCTCCCCTACCCATCTAAGTTTCTGCCCTTTTTTAAACTCGTCACTAGAAATGGCCATTCTGCATAGGACAGCTGACTGTGAAGACAGAGGATGCATGACAATCACTGCTTGTGTCACCAAGCAGGAACGGGTACCAAGTTGATGACGCTCTTACAGACACATCCGTGACGAGAATGTGGCGCAGGGAGGCAGGCGGCGACACCCTGACCCAGCCGGCCTGTTAGTTTTCCCCTGCGAAGGCAAGGGCCACAATTCCACGGCTCCACAGTGCTCACAGGAACAGGGGAAGAAGCCCGGCCTTAACTGTACGGCCGTCCCAGCAGGAGACGATGCTGTGCTCCTCCTCTCCAGGATCCATGATTAACGTCAGCTCATGGTTGAAGGCTGGAGTCTGCTCTGCACCACACTCTGACACAAACACTCCCGGAGATGGGTTTCTCTTATACTTTCCTCCTTTCTGGGGGTCCCCTGAGTGGCACCTTCCTGCCCCCTATCTCTGGGGTCCTGGGTTCTAGAGAGTCTGGAGGAATTGGGGACTTGAGTCCTGGGAGGGAAGGGGAAGCACAGCCTTTGGTGTGATAAATAAAGGTAGGGGTGGGGAGGACATAACACGGAAGGCTCAGAGGCCCTGACAGCTGGGAGTCTGGGAGCAGAGACCTGGAGGGTGGGAAGGGATGTGGGCTGTGCCAGGTTAGGAGGTGAGAGTAAGATACTGAGGGGAAGGAAACCACTGGGCAGAACTCCATGCAGGCAGAGTGGATTTGGTCCTTGGGATAAATAGGCCACTGGGGAAAAAAAGACATGCTGTTCTGTACAAGTACAGTGACCCCAGGAAAATGTCTGTGGGATGAGGCCTCCGGCCTTGCAGAGCCACCAGGCCTGGGGGTGAGTGACATGAGACCTGCCACCCCAGCCCTTTCACCACCCTGCTTAAAGTCACCCCGACAGGACCAGTCTGGGTCTTCCAGCCTACTCTTATAGGAAGTCATATATGGCAGAGACTTCTAGGCGTCAACCCAACACCCATACCTCTTCTTTACTAATAGGACACTGCATGATAGATCTAGTTGATAAGTCACATTTCTCAACCTCCCGTGCAAGTGTTGGGTGGGGCTTCTGGAAGACCCCTTTTTTCAGTGCCCCCATCACTTCCTCCTTTCTGTTAACTGGACTGGGCCAGATGATGGCCAGAGCTCCAGCAGCCATCTTAGACCATGAAGTGACCTTGATGGTGACGTTTCCTGCTAAGGATGGTGGAGCAGAAAGATGGGCAAAGGCTGGTCTGGAATGTTCGTGAGACCGTGTCAACCCTGGACTGCCTTCTACCAGATTTTTTATCTAAGAGAAAAATAAACCCCTATAAGTTTCCTTAATTTCCCCCTGTCTTTCAGGATCTTGACAAAACAGTCCTGATCAGTTACAGTAGAACGTCCCTCGATTTGGGGTGTCTGATGACATCCCAGGACTGGAATGGTATTAGGCATTTTTAGCAAGAATACTATAGAAGTGATGTTGTATCCTTCCTAATTACTATTTTTAATTGTAAAAATTTCTTTCATTGACATTGTGCTTCAGATATTCAAATTTTTAAGGGTTATTTGTAATGCTTTTGGGTTTGTTTTTTTTTAAGAAAAGCTGCTTTTAGTCAATCATGATTAGGACTTTAAAAAGTAGGGAGTGGATTTCAATTATAAGTTTACCTCTGCCAGTTGTGTTCCTCTCCTTGGGTTCTTATCAAAGTGGGTCAAGAATGAAATGAATCTCCCCCATGACATTGTGATATTATAAAAATATACATATGGTCTTCCTTCGTCCCCATGCCTAGGAGAGATCTCCTAAAACCCTCATAATTTCCTGAGAGATAGGAGCATCTTTTGTTATTTAGACCAGACCTGAGTTTATGCACTGAGGTGACTCTTGGTGGGCCCCTAGATAGCTTCAAGATGGAGGCTGGTCCCCTGAAGGAACCAACCATGTGATTAGAGGGTTGGAACTTTCAGCTCCACCCAATCTTCAGGGATAAGAGAGGGGCATGGAGGTTGAGTTAATCACCAATGGCCATGATTTAATCATTCATGCCTACTTAATAGAATCTCCATAAAAACCCTAAACAATGCGATTCAGAGAGCTTCTAGGTTGGTGAATGCATTCACAGGCCAGAAGGGTGGTACACCCCAAGTCCACAGGGACAGAAGCTCCTACACATGGGAACTTTCTGGATCTTGCCCTATGTACCTCTTCATCTGGCTGTTCATCAGTATCCTTTATAATATCCTTTATATACTAAACCAGTAAATGTAAGTAAAGTGCTTTCCTGAGTTCTGTGAGCTGTTCTAGCAAATTATCAAACCTGAGGAGGGGGTCATGGGAACCCCCGATTTATAGCTGGTTGGTCAGAAGTAAGGGAGGCCCGGATTTGTGACTGGCGTCTGATTTGGGACCAGTCTGTGGGACTGAGCCCTCAACTTGTGCTAACTCCACGCAGTTAG